GTCAGAAACGGTGCCACCCCAGTGCTGCTGTGGCCTCCAGAATGTCTGACACAGTAACATGGCACAGAGCGCAACGCATGGACATATCAATTTATAATTGACATGTTACCAAATAAAGTCCCTTAGGGGGTTGGAACCATCTAAGCAACAATTGGCTAAATGTCCCTATGCAGGTTAGACACTTGTGGAGGGTTCTTCTATGGATCTCACATATCTTGGCTAAGATCCAGTTTCAGAATCCAAGATATGCAAATGAAACCCCGGTGTAACTTTTGTGTGTGTTTAGTCAGTCATTTTTAATAATCAAAACAGAGAAAATTACCCAAAGTGAAATTCACAGACAAGAAATACTTTAATTAAATATTGTGTAAAATGAACATTTTTATACAGTTAAATATCTGAAAAAATGTACAGATAAAACAATCTTATTGTAGGGTCTTTAACAGTAAAATCTACCATTTAGTGAAGCACTCAGTTTTGAGACAATGAAGCGATGAGGGCGTCGACTACTTAATCTAAAACACAAACCAAGTGAGGGCATGAGGAAGCTTGCAAACGTCCTCAACACGTACATGTGAGCTCTCTTTTAGATCAAACCCTTACTCAGATGAAATAAAACGGAGGCAATTTAGTTCCAAAGTGACTTCTTGGGCTTTTCCACGTAGCTAAGCCTTGTCAGTAATCCCAAAGCCAGACCATGACCTGCTGACTACTGGGGACATTCTGCTTATCTTATTTAGTCCCCTGAATGAACGCTTTCTAAGTTGTGCATTGTTTCATTTTTATCAAGGTTTTTAAAAGTCCCTCCTTTTTGTTCTAAATGTTATTTCTGCTGCAGTTGACGAAATGTTCGCTGTGCTGTATCTGCAAAGCATTTAGTGCAAAAGGAAAAAAAGAAAAAGAAAAAAGACTGACCCTTTTGGTCTCACTGTGGGTTTGGCACTAACAGGCACAATATCTGAAGGAGGTCATTCCAGTCTTAAAAGTACAGACAGTGCTGTTGGATCTGACCACAACAAAAACATATTGTTAAAAAAATTTTAAAAAAGGGAAAACCAGCAGTGATTTCAGTTTCCCCTGAAGCCTCTCTGAGTAGGAGGCAGGCTTGCAAGGGTACAGGATGCAGCAGAAACAGACCCAGAAAGGAGAGACACACGGGACGGCGGGTTTGTGCTTTTGCTGGTGTGTGTGTGCGTGTGTGTGTGTGTGTTTTACACCATAAATCTCCAAATGAAATATTGATTAGCAATTGCGGTGTAAGCCTGTGATAAAATAGCACAAAGGTTCTTTAAAGAAGTCCACTTTTAAGGCATCAGAGAAGTTAATGTGGCAAACATTTTAATTAAAACGTCAGAAGTAAATTTTATTTTAAACTTTAGGCCTCTGAATTTTTCCAGTAAACACAGTTCAGCTATGTGGCAAAGTCATGGGTGGCATCTAAAATGACTTTTCACATTCTACAAAAAAAAAAAAAAATAATAATAATAATAAAATAAGGACACAGCCCCAAACGGTGCCGCCTCTTTGCGGCTGCCTCACATGCACAGAATCTACTAGGATTTGTCACAGCCGAGTGGCACCGTTTTGTTTTGACTATACAACAAACTTTTTTTTTTTTCAAAAGTATTTGTTCAGATAACTTAAAAATAATATAAAAATAAACGATGACTTTGACTTTTCCTCAAAATAAAAAAAAAGGATGGAAAGTCTAAACAATAGCATATTTTTGAAGAACAAATGAAATGTAAGGACACTGGTTCATGGGTCATTTTAACAAAACAGATCAAAAAGACGACAGTTCTTGGCTAATGCTCTTCCCAGTATCACAACACCGGGCCATGATCAAAAACCAATACAGACGAGAAAAAAGAAAAAGAAAAAGGTGGGAAAAGCAATGTACAAAATCTCAAAGATAAATACAATATTTATAATTGATATGTTACAAAATAAAGTCCCTTAGCAACTGCAAGTGTTCATGGGAAAGTAAGTGTTGAATGGAGACCATTTTATTCCTTATAAGACACATAAGGAATAAAACTTGTTTTTCTAAATATTTTAAGTGGATCTGAAAAAAATTCAAGACAAGTGTATAAATATTTAGCTACAACTTTGGCAAAATCACAAAAGTCTACAATTTTATAACCACATACAAAACACATTAGGGAAGAAGGATCTAGAAGTCAAAAGGACAATTTCTGGTACAAGAAACATAGACCTCACAGTAGCCTAAGAATGCAATAGTATACAGTGCTAGCAAAAGGTGAAAAAATGTTGCAGATCACACTTGCTTAACAGGAAGCTCTAGCAGTGGAAGAATATTGAAACCAACAGACAGTAGCATTTTTCTCTGTCAGTGTGCTTTTTGAAGGCAAGAGAATTCAATATCAAAGTTACAGTTTCTAACTACAATAAGTTACAAAGTTTCGTTTCATTAAGATGAAGTTAAGGAACGATAAACCCTCCCTCCCTCCCTGCCACCCCCAATTCTCCTAATCATATAGTCATCCTTTTTCCAGTTTGATGGCTCATACCTCCTTGGCCCCCTTTTTTTCACCACAAAAAAATATTTCACATTATAGAGATACACAACCATTGTGAATCTAAGTATGAGTACAGAAAAATGTTTGGAGGCATTTTTCATCAGTGTTTCATGATCATCAAAATGGTGCATTCACAAAGTTTCTCCCAACACATAGCAATTACTAGACATGGCCAAGACGGAGTCAGAAACTTTATACAAAATAGGCGCCGCTTTGTTTTCCTTATTCTTCAGGACTGCGAAATGTGAAAATATGAGAAAAGTTCAGTCAATAAAATGGAATTGTTCGTGAAGGAGTGGGCTGTCTGCAGGTTGATTCTTAATCGTTTAAATAAAATCTTTAAACAAAGTCTTTTTTTGTAGCATTTCGATTGCTGCTGATTGTTGTGAAGGTACTGTTTCCATCAGCATGTCTTAAGATACTAAACGTGTCCCCTGAAGTCCGTCCTTGGATGCTGGGTGCTGCGGAAGGGAAACAAAAGTCCCTCACATGGGCGGGACTACCAGCCCAGACATAGCTGCAAGAGAGGAGGGAGGGTGGTTACTCGGGCGGCCACGCGCTCCCACCCCCGGGCGGCCGCCCTGCCCTCCGCGCTCAGCCGGCTGTGAGGCTGCACTCGCCAGCCTCGGGCATGGCTACCGCGTGCTGGGGAATCTGCTTCCCGGGGGCGGGGGGCTGCACGCGCACCGACATCCCCACGTCCTGCCACACTGCAGCCTTCCTCAGAGACCCCCTCGGAAGGGGAGGGCTTCTGGCACTCGCCGGCATTTCGTTCCCGGCAAGTGGAGGGCCCAGACTCCCTGCAGGCCTCTTCTGTCAAGAGATGCGACCCAGTCCGGTCACTCCTGCGACGACCCCGCCGAGGCCAGCTGGCGGGCCCTGCCCTCGGCTCCCCAAGCGAAAAGCGGACGGGCCTCAGTGTCCCCCTCTGCGCTCAGGCCTCGTCTCTGGCGGCCTGCTGCTCGCTCTGGATTGTAACGGTGAGTCGGGGGCCCTCAGAGCTCAAAGCCGCTCACGGCCCGCCTGCTTGGGGCCCCAAGGCCGAGGGCCAGGAGGCCAGGAGGAGAACGGGCCACAGCACCGCCCTCGGGAGCTCAGTTTCTCTCCTCAAGGCAGAAGAGGGAGCTCTGGGCTAAAACGCCAAGTGCGGCGGACGCTTTCACGTGAATGAACTCCTGGCACGCGTGTAATTCGAAATCTTTTGACTCTCGTGTTGTCTAATTTTTGTCAGAACGATCGTTCTCATTAATTTATGCATAACATATTAATACATTTGTTCATGTACTGGTGCGAGCTTCAATTTCTCAGTTCATTAATTCCAACAATATTAATTTATCTCCAACTCACCGTTACAACCTTATGGTTTGGAAGACCTGTGTGTGTACACATGGCTTCTGGGACTCTGTCTTTCACCTGGCCCCACCACCGCAGCAAGGGGCAAGCCCACGGCACGTGGCCGCCGGCCTCGTAAGCGACTCTGGCTCGGTGCCCACTGATGGCTCACGGGCCGGTCGGCGGCGTCGCAGGGGCCTGGGCTTCCCTTCGGGGCCCGGGCGTCCCTCCGGCCACTAGCGGGTGTGGGCAAGACAAGGATTTCAAATCGCGGATACCTTTCCAGTTCCTTTTTTGAGCATTAGTTCATCAAAGTGAAATATGCCACCGACTTCACAAAAGGGCCAGTTTGTCTTCTCCACGGCTACGTCCTCAGCACCCAGCAGAGAGCCTAGCACATAGTAGGCGCTCAGTAAATACTGGTGGAACGGATTCGTTTTTTTAAAGGAGTAACTGGATTTGGTTTTCACTGGGAGGAGCACATACCAAAGGTGGCGTCTGAAAGAGGCCAGACGACGGCCACTTAATGTAAGTGCCTGCAGGCCTCAGACCCTCACAAAGGCCTGCAGGCGCCAGCTCACGAGGCCTAGGGGCACCCATGTGGCGTTGCCCGTCACCACCTCAGGGGCCACGTGCGGCCACCATCGCCCGGAGGGCCGAACGCTGGGCGGGCACAGGGTGTCCACACGACGTGGCCCTGTCTGGGGGCCGCGATGTCCGGGTGGTGCTCCCCCACGCCCTTGGGGCTGATCCCTCTCCCTCTGGAATCTTTGAAAGAGATCGCTTAGAAAAATCAGCTCCCGCCCGCAGACAGGGCTCCAACCCAGCCCTGGAGCACATGTTGAGAGGCGCATCCCTTTCCAAGGGGCGGTACAGCCTCGCTGGACAAGGGTGAGATCCAGGGCTTGGCCTCAGGACAACGAGAACCGGTGGGTATGGAGACGGGCTGCACGGGTGAGAAGGGGCCCGGCCCTCCCCGGCCTGAGGCTGTTTTCTCTGCCGGGTCAACAAGGAAGCTCTGAGCCGCCGCCCCGTGCGGAGAAGAGCCCGGACCCGGGCGGAGGCCCATCTGCTGACTCAGGCTGCAGGTGGCCACAGGCCCGTGTCCTCTCACACGTGGGCCCATCCCCTCAGGGCACGAGGTGCTCTAGCGTGAGGATACGCGGTCACCCCGGAAAGGTGAGCCGGACGGGACCCAAGAAGCAGACCCGGCATCGGCTGGGGCCGGCGGCCGGGCTCCTTTCTACACACCCCGGGCAGGGGAGGAGTGCGTGGCCGCAGGCCCAAGGCGAGTGTGCAGCAGCACGGACGTGCGAGGAACCCGAGCGCGTGCCCCCCGGAGGAGGGGCCGAACTCCCAGCCCTGCCCGGGAGAGAAGCTGGCCCGCGAGCCACCCTCACCTTGCAGTCCGTTCCCGTTGGCGCTGGTGCAGGAAGGAGGGGGAGAGGCTTGAGGCCGGACCACAGGTGCAAAGGCGCTCTTCTGTTTCACTGCGGAGATGACATTGGCAGGTGAGAATGAGAAAATGCCGTGTGTGCTGCTACAGTTTGAAGGGAGGGTGACCGAAGAGGCTGCCATGGTGGGGCTGGACGGCACTACTGCAACAAAGCAAACACGGTCAGCACGCGCGGCCGTGGCACGGCACCACGACAGAGAGGGC